GGGAGGACGGAGAGGGTGTGGGGAGGACGGAGAGGGTGTGGGGAGGACGGAGAGGGTGTCGGGAGGAGGGAGAGGGTGTGGGGAGGTTGGTTGTACATGCCCTTGGGCTCACAGAACCTGGGGCCATTCAGTTCCCAGGCTGTGAAGTAGGGCCCGGACTCATGGGACGAGGCAAAAATGGGGAACCAAGTAGCGAAGAACAGGTGGCAGGAAGCAAGGAATGCGGAATGGGACAGGACCTGCTGCGCGCGCGAGCCCGGGATGAGGTTGTCCGCGCGCGTGCTCTGGTTGGCCGCGATGAACTCGGGGATGTAGACGGAAGGCCGAGGCCGAAGGGCTTCCATGTGCGCCCACAGTTGCTCCTGCAGCTCCCAATCCAGCACCTTCGCGCGCCGCATCGCCTCGGCGAGGTTCAGCGACGAGATGTCCCAGCCTGGGGGGAACCCTCACACTCGGCCCTGCCCAGGTCCTGGGCCCCTCCAGCCCCCATCTCCCATCCCGCCCCTCCCCCAACCCAGGGCTCCGCCCACCATCAAACACGAGGTCGTTGGGCGCCACCATGGGCAGCAGTGCACTGAAGGGCATAAACACCTCCTGGCCCTCGGCGTCCAAGCCCAGGCTCACGGTGCCCACCTGAGTCAGCGAGCCGTAGTAGTTGGCCTCCTGGGGGGCAGCAGACAAGGCGGGGTGTCGAGAGGGCGTGGTGAACGCACCGCGACCCGGCCTGGGCCCCGCCTAGACTCGTAAGTCCCATCCCGCTTTCGGGCATTTTCAGTTCCGGGCTCTCAGCCAGGACGGAAGCCGCTGCCCCCAAGCCCCTCCCCCGAGACCTCCGGCACCTTAAGCTCCGCCCCTGTAAGACTCCCAAGGAGCCCCGAGTACCTCGCGAAACCCCTCCCCGGTGTCCGCCGGCAGCCAGGCCCCGCCCCCTGCAAGCCCTCCCGCCCCCTGCAGGTCCCTCAACCCCTACAGGCCCCCAGCCCCAGGAGGGTCCCTCGCCCCCTACAGGCCCCCAGCCCCAGGAAGGTCCCTCGCCCCCTACAGGCCCCCAGCCCCAGGAAGGTCCCTCGCCCCCTACAGACCCCCCACCCCTGGAAAGGTCCCTTGCCTCCCGCAGCCCCGTACCCCGCAGAACACCGCCCCCTGCAGTCCCCAGCCGGCCCTGCAGAACCCCGCCCCCTGCAGCCCCCTGCGGCCTGCAGGCTCCTGCCCCCGCCCGCAAGGACTCCCACCAAGCCCCCCTGCTCACAGCGCCCCTCCCGCCCCCACCTTGCGGCCGCTGCGCGTGGGCCAGGACAGACGCAGTCGGTTGGCCAGCACCGCGGCGGTGAGCGTGGAGCCGTTGTTCCCGCCCCAGCCGACAAGCATGACCCCGAGCCGGGGCACCTGCCGGGCGGTCCGGAAGGTGAAGCGCATCGTCGTGGGGTGCACCTGGAGACAAGCCGCGCAGTGAACCCCGGGTCCCATCCCGTTCTCCCCTCGCGGCAGAGACGGGTTGGAGACATTGAACAATCTCCTCCCGCCGCCCCACTCTCCAGCACGCCCCCTCCCCCGGCTCCCTGGCCCACCTTGAGGACGCCGCCCTCGCGGCTGACGCGCGTCGTCCGGTACTCGTATTGCGCCTCGATAGCCTCGGGGCCGTAGACCACGTCCGGGCTCTCGACGAAGAACTGGGCGGCGGCCTCCATCGCAGCGGGCTGGGGGCCCGGGGTGAGCAAGGGGTCAGCGGGGACACTAAGTGGCCGGGCCAAGGCGGCCTGGGTCCCCAGGGAGGCCGCCCCCGCCCCGAACCACACTCACCGGCGCGGAGTCGGCTCAGGCAGCGGCAGCGGACAGCGCGGGCTCTCGGGCGCGCGACCTCCGGAGAAAAGCGCTCCGGCCCCGCCCCCGCTCCGCCCCCACCCCCGCCCCCGCCTCTCCCGCGCCTGTGGGGGAGGGGCCCATCGTCTGGAGACCCGGGTTCGAGGCGCAACCCGGAGCCACCGCAGCCATCGGGTCCCCGTCTGGCGGAAGTAGCCGGGCGTCCTCGAGCGCTGCGAGTATTGGTTCACCTCGCTCGCTCCGCAGTCCTCAGGGGCACATGGCTGCCTATTCCGCCTTTACAAGAGGACAATGAGGATAAGCAGGAGCTGAGCCACAAGTCGGGGTGGAGCTGGGCAGGGAAGCTGGGCCTCCGGGGGAGGGGGTAGAGGTTCTGGGTCAGAGAGACTGCAGGGGAAACTGAGGCAGAGGACCAGAACTCCAAAGCCAGAATCTCCTCGGAGCCACGCTGCCACCTACTCCACTTCATGGGCAGCAGCACCTACCGGGCACTCCCATCTCCTGGCTCCCTGTGCCCACCCCCATCCATCTCAGGGGGGACGAAACCACTCTGTCCCATGGGGCCTGTTTGGCCTGTTTCCCCACCTGCAGCAGGAGGGCTTGGCAGGGGTGGGCCGGAGGGGGAGGCTGTTCACTGGGAAGAGGAGGGGACAGGCACAAGGGCAGGGCTGAGGCAAGGGAAGAATGAGGCCTACACAGCAGGGCACCCCCCTCATATGTGCTGATAAGGGAGCGTGGGAACCCAGCGGGCAGGCCGGGGCAGCTCCCCCAGGAACTTTCCAAAACAAGCGCCTGGAGGCCGGAAAGTTTCCACCACTGGAGCTGGCCCAAAAGGTGGATAGTTGGGAACGTTTGCAGGAGACAGGGCCTGACCTTGGAGAATGGGGGCTTAAGACTCTGGTTCCAGGCCTCACCCTGAAGGGGCCCCAGTCTGTGGGAGTTGGAAGTGGACTGGGACACCCCCCTCCCCAGTGGGAGGGAACTCACAGGCAGGGCCCCTCCAAGGCAGGCTTCCCAGATGAGGGGGCTGCTGGCAAGGGTTTTGAGACATGAAGAGGAGTTCGCTGAAAGAAAACTACAGGCCAAGCCACCTGAGCTTGAAAAAGTGGCAGATGAAAAAGTAGCCACGTGGGAGGCAGTTTGGGGACTAGGGAAGACCCTGAGGGCTGGGGGTAGGGAATGTGAAAGAATATTCAGTATTTGTCCCTGGTTCTTGGTTACACATTCAACTCAATCACCAGCGACCAATAGTTTAATCAATCACATCTATGCATGAGATGGTTGGGGTTCAGAACACACAACTCCCCCAAGTATGGGGCCTTGGCCTGCTGGGCGCTTTGAGCAGGACATCGGAAAGCTCAGAAGTGAGTCTCTCTGACCTTCTCCTGCCCTCCTGCCTCTAGCCCCTTTCTGCCCTGGAAACCATAGAAACCAGAATTCCTCTTCCCCAAGCCAGGTCAGAGAAACTGGAGCCCTTCTCCCCTAAAACAAGCCGCAAAGCCAGCAAAGGTCACCTTCTGCTTGCTCCCTTGAAGACCCTCATTCCGGGAGGGTCATGCCCATACCCTGGAGGAAGGAATGTTACCAGGAAGTCTGGGCAGGCTGGCTCCCCTCCCCCACCCAGTCTGCTCCCTTTAAATCTACGCAGTGTTCCATCTCATTGCTACACATTCTTCATAGAACCTAAGCAGAAAAATAGGCAGTCGGCCAGGTGCAGTGGCTCACGCCTGTAATCCCAGCACTTTGGGAGGCCGAGACGGGTGGATCACTTGAGCCTGGGAGTTCTGAGACCAGCCTGGGCAATATGGGGAAACCTATCTCAATAACAACAAAAAAAAATTAGCTGGGCTTGGTGGTGCCAGCTTGTGGTCCCAGCTACCTGGGATGCTCAAGTGGGTGGATCACCTGAGCTCAAGAGGTGGAGGCTGCAGTGAGCCATGTTGCAGCACTGCACTCCAGCCTGGGCAACAGAGTAAGACGGTCTCAAAAAAAACAAACAATGGGGTTTAGGGGGAAATATGGAGGTGCTGGGAGGGTGGCATTCCTGGAAAAGGCATAGAAGCTCCATGGCCCGCCCCATACCTTGCCCTGTGTGCCTCCTCCATTTGGCCGTGAGCATTTTCCAGAGTTCTATGAGCTGTTGTAGCAAATTATCAAACCTGAGGTGGGGGTCTTGGGAGCTCGCACTTTATCGCCGGCTTGCCAGAAGAACAGGTGGCATCTGACACGGGTGCAGCCCTGTGGGACTGAGCCCCGCAACTTGTGGAGTCCGATACCATCTCTGGGAGTGGAACTGTTGGACATCCTGTTGGTATTGAAAGATCAGAGAATCAGGGAGCTTGTGCCTCGAGGCAACATGGGATTCAGGAACCTGTGTAGTTGAGAGACACGAGGAAGGTCCAAAGACCCATCCATGAGGCAGCTGGCAGGATGTGGCATAGGGACGAGGCTGCTTCCACTCCCGGCAGTTGACAAGGTCAAGGGAGGGGGTCTGGCCCCTCCAGTCAGGCCTGGGTGTGCCGTCTAAGGTGGGTTGTGAGGTGCGCCAGTCTCCCAGCAAACTGTGGGCTCCCTGAAGGCCAGGATGAGGCTCTCTCGGTCACTGCTGTGTTGCAGAGCCCAGATGGAGCTTGGTACAGGAGGGGCTGCAGGAATGGGGTGCCGGTGGAAAGAGGACAATCCGGGACCCTGGCAGGCAGCAGGAGAGGGGTTGACAGCCCGGAGCTCCTCTCCACCACGGTGCCCGGGCCATGAGGGTGAGGGCTCTCCTGGGCACGCGGGGGGACTGGACTGATGGCATCCATGACTCAGCGAGGTCAGGGGACCAACTGTGGCCTCTGTGGGCCGTGGGGCTCACGGCCAGAGTACTGCTGGACAGTCAGCTTAGGGCTGGCAGTGGAGGGCTGGGGGAGGCAGGGAGGGCCGGGGGAGGCAGGACCGAGAGCTGGAGGAGGTTGGTATTGGGCCTGGGATACGGGGACAGAGATGTTACCTTGGGAGAACGCCGTGGCCAGGCTGTGCTGGGAGCAGGATACACGCTGCCCTGCTGGGTCGCATGACTTCCCCTCCCTCGCCCCTCAGATGTCTGGGTGGCCTCAGAACTTGGGCCAAGGACGCAGGCCAGCAGGGAGGCCAGGCCCCACAGCTGCAGGCCCAGGACCTTTGCCCACGGTCCTGTTATTCGTGTCATCCCTTACTAAATGGCCCTTGCTTGTCCTCGGCCAGCAGGATGAGCATTATGTTCTCCATGTCCTCCAGCTCCGGTTCCACCTGCACAGCTGCTCCCGCCTTATCATCCCCATTCCCTTTGGTGGCACAGGATGGCCCCGCCCCAGTCCAGGAAGAACAGGTAATCACGTATTACTGTTGCCTGCTGCTTTCATCAGAGGGTGACAGTCACAGCTGGTTCCCCCAACCCCCGCTGCACTCCTGTGGCCTCTGGTGCCGCAGGAGGCCAAGGAATCCCAGTGCCGGGTTCAGCCCACCCTGTCCACACTGGAGGGTACCGCTGTGCGCACATGCCTGCTGTGGCTCCCCATCCCCCCCGCCCTGGCCCAGCCTGCTCCCCTCACATACAGGGCCCTCTGCTTCGGTCCTCATTCTTGGGCAATGGCTCAGGGAGGCTGCAAACTTTGCCTTCTCGTCTGGTTCCAGCTGGAGCCCTTGAACAACCCTTTCTCATCAACGTGGTGGCCCCAGGCCACATCACCTCCCGATGCCAGCCCACCCCCAACCACAGGGCAGGGACAGCCAACACAGAAACCAGGGTGACACCCCCAAACATACCCCCAAAACACACCACACCCATACACCCCCACACCCAACACCCACACACTACCCACCCACACACACCCCACACCCAACACAACATACCCACACACTACCCACCCACACACACCCCACACCCAACACAACATACCCACATACTACCCACCCACCACACACCCACACACACCCCCCCACACACACATCCACATAACCCCACACCCACACCACACACCCACACACTACCCACCCACCAAATCCCCACATAACCCCACACCCAACACACCACACACACAAACCCCACACCTAACACAACACACATCCACACACTACCCACCCACCACACATCCACACACCACACACACTACTCACTCACCACACACATCCACACCACACACACCACACCCCACACCCAGATACACCACACTCACACCCACCACATACCCACCATACACCCACATAGATACACCATACCCACCCCCCCCCAGATACAATACACACAACTCAGATACACCATACCCCCCAACACACATCAACACCGTAACATCACATCCAGATACACATCCCAACACACATCCACACCACACACCCACCCCAACATACCCAACATACCACACCCACACCCTAACACACACCACACCCCTACACAGATACACCACATACCCCAACACACACCACACAGGTACACCACACCCACACATACCCACACACCATACATGGATACACCCACACACCATACATGGATACACCCACACATACAGATACACCACACACACACCCCCCCACACACCACACACACCAGCCAGGCAGCCTGGGCTGCCAGGTTCAGTTCAGTGAAATTTATTGTAGGACTGAAAAAAGTCAGCATTCACCTGTTTAGTGTACAAAAAGGACACTAGATCTTTTAAGAAAATATTAGGAAACTGAAGACGCAGATGCCTTTCAATTGTAACATTTTGGCAAAAGTGGAAAGTTCTTGTAAACACCAACCCCATGGCTCAAAATAGTTTTTCTCCACAGTACAACATTAAAAGAAAAAAAATAGTATCAATAAGTTAGACCATATTTAATCAGCTAGAACTTTGTCCACCAACCCCCAAAACAAAACTTCTCTTAGCTTCATAATTCCTTAAAAGGAGAACAAATAACAAAAACAACAACAAGAAAAAGGCAAATGGAACTGACAGCCCCTTGGACTGCTTCCCAGGGCAGAGGCGCGGGCAGTCCCTCGCTGGGACCTCCTGAAATCGTCCCACCTCACCCGTGTCTGCAGGCTGCCTGTGAGCGACAGTGGGGTCCTGCCCACTCAGGTTCCCTCGAGCCTGGTCGGCCCTTCCCCAGCCTGGCCCAGAAGACAAAAACAGCAGCAGCTATTGAAACATGAAGGAAATTTCCTCAGAGCTCTGGGAACCCGGGGGTCCCAAAGGAGAGAGACTCGGACAGGGGTGGGACGCACTGTAGGCCCTCCGCAGTCAGCTCTTTGGAAGCCATCAGGAGGAACTCCCCCACCCCCCGGTTTAGAAAAATAGACACATCTGTATTTTTGCATTTCTGCTCTCCCTGCCTGACTGTTGATGGCAGCAGTGACCCCCATGTGATCCCTGGGACCTGATCACAGCCACCCCCACCACCACCTTCCGAAGTCATGGCTTCATTTGGCCCTAAATGGGAACACACACCTCAGACCCCACCATGCCCTGGGGGGTCCCAACACACGCACACGCACGCACACACACTTGTGTGGCCCCCCATGCTTTGAGGGACGCTAGACTAGGCACAGAAACAAAGCAGCAATTGGGGTATCTGCAGAGCCTGCATCCTCAGAGCGGGCAGATCCATCCTCCTGGCTCCCTAGCTCTGCCCATGGGTCCCTGGGGCCTCCACTGGTGCCCAGTCCTCCATCAGCCCCTCCCTGAGTGCAAACCTTGGCGGTGGCTCTGCTAAGACGACCCCAGGACCCATAGTGGACAGAGGGACGGAGGGAGGCCAGCAGCGTGGAGACCACAGGGTTGTGTGGAATGGGCAGCAGCAGCAAATGGGAGCCAGAGGATGTCGCAGAGTACAATCTGACGCCACTGTGCCAGTCTCAACTGGGAGCACAGAAACGCCGCATCCCCCGACAGCTGGGGGCCCAATATAGGGCAGGCCTGGGGGAGCCGAGAGCTCTCTGGCCCCCCTTGGCTCTGAGCAGCTGCCTGGGGGCACCAGCTGGAGTTCTCAAAATAGCCACCCCGGCCACCCCGTTTGCTTGCTGGAGCAGAGACCCTGCCTGAGGAGGAGAGACCAGGGACTAGGGTGCCTGAACACAGAGCCAGAGACCAGCAGAGGCCACCTGCTGGGTCCCTGCCCTCAGGGCTCGGCTGCACCTTCCGACAGCCTCTGTAATACTGCAGGCAGGACCCAGGGCAGCGACTAGACCCTGGGTGTCCGAGAAGAGGGAGGCACAGGTTTAGAAAAAAGATTCTGCTTCTCTTTTGTACAAAAATAGACTCGAGTCTCATTAGCAGTAGCTAAAAGTGGCTGTCTTTGTATAAAACTAGAAAAGGCAGGCGCGCCACCCCGAGGGCCTAGGAGTCTTCTGGCAAGAGAGGAGGCTGAACCGGGGCTGCAGCCAGGAAGGCGGCGCTGGGCTTCCTGGGGAGCCCGTCACAGGCAGGGACTATTCAGGAGGCGGGAAGGGCCAAGGTGGGCCTGCAGCCCCCCACCAGGACCAGACATCTGCAGGGGCTCCCCTGAAAGCCGGCAGTGCTGGTTCAGATGAGCATCTTCCTCGGGTTTATTTTTTTAAATAAATCCTCTCTCCCCTGCCTTTTGCTCCCCCCACCCTCCCAGATCCCGCCATCGGGGTGGGCGGCTAGGGCCAGGCCTGCAGTTGCCGCTGGTCGTACTCGGCGATGAGCCTCTTGATGTGGGCCAGCTTACTGTGCAGGTACTCGCAGCGGTGCTTCTCCTGGCTGTAGTT